TAACCAAAATTCACTAAACATTAGTTGCCAAAAACTGTCCATGGGTAGAGGTGTACTGCAATGTACACAAACAGGCTTAAAAATTAACTAATATATCTACATTCAGGTACCACCTTTCCAACCAAGTTTTATCTTGAAATTACCCATTATGTACACACACACACACACACACACACACACACATATTCAATAACAACTTTATTTTTCCTTAAAGCAGCAGAATTAAGAGAAGTTCCAACAAATTCTAGTCTTCAGTTACTTTATAGTTCTATTGAGTTAATTTCCTAAACTTTTTTTTTTCTCTAGTGTACTGTTTTCTACATTTTCCATTTTAGTTTTTTTAATTTTACCTTAATGTTCTGAATACAACACTTCTCATTATAAGTGTACCTTAATATTCTGAATACAACCATTCTCATTATAAGTGTACCTTAATGTTCTGAATACAACACTTCTCATTATAAGTGCACCTTAATATTCTGAATACAACCCTTCTCATTATAAGTGTACCTTAATGTTCTGAATACAACCCTTCTCATTATAAGTGTACCTTAATATTCTGAATACAACCCTTCTCATTATAAGTGTACATATTTTGACTTGGTATAGCTATTAGTAACGCTTGTCCTACCTGCATTTTCTCTTGTGACAGGATGGCATTCATATAGAGTTGTAGCAATACCATAAGCTTCACTGGAAGGTTTGTTCCAGTTCTTCACACCAGCTATATATTCTTCTTCTTCTGGAAAATCATGTTCTTGAACTGTGTTTTCTTGATTATTACCATCATGATGCTTTATACTTTCTAAATGTTAACAGTTAAGACACATCAAAGCAAGTTTTTTAAATTTACAACTCACATTTATAGTAATTCATGTATATAAAGCTACAGTGGGTGCACTGATACACATAAATATACACCAACCAAATATAAAAGAATTGAATTATATATATTACAAAAATACATACATAAAGGCTAAGTAGCACCTTTCAATATTGTATCCTTAGATAAAGCTCCTAACTAAATGATTGGCTACTACACCTAATGTTCTAGCAAAATGTGCTAATGTATACAAGAGATACTATTGTTAATAACACTAGTCTTTACACCATATAATTACAAATCTTAGCCAGTCAGTAGGTTTTGTTTGCAATTTCTTGTAAAGGTGGATGGAATGTGGAAGGAGTTTTGAATTATGTTGATTGGCATGTGCAATACATAATTCTTATATTGGCAGATCTATCTTTAACAACTGATGAATTATCCCTATTTGCACAGGTTTGGTCTATTGGACCATGTGTATGTTGCAGAATTAATATTTACTACACATTCTGTAATTTCAAATGTAGTCATCTGAGTGCAAGATTAGTTTCAGGTTAAGAATAAAAATACTTTTTCAGCTTACAGCTTTGATATTTTATTAACATATAGAACCTCCTAAATGAATATAATTTTTTTCTCAGTAAAACTTTACACTTTATATGTTACTTTTTTATACCCTAATTGTATATTATATTAGCTCGGACCAATTGACCTATCTTATAACCACCACCACACACACAAAAAAAAGAAATACACCTCAATTACCTTTTTTTTTCTTTTTTGATAAATCCCAGGCACCAGGTTGACTAAAAATTTCATTGTAGCCTAGTATTTTCTCCAATTTTAACTGTGCATAGGGATGTGCTAAACAAAACTCGAATGTATAACAGTTCTGGACTCTTGGAAGTTTTGAACTATTTTCACATTCTTTGAGTCCTAAATCAAACTTTGTTTCTACAATTTTAATGGTAGATTCAGCAATTCATGTTTTTTCAGGAATCAAGTGCTGCAGTTACACAACACGTTACTAATTTTGTGCCATTTTGTTTTTTCTTCTTTTACTCAATTCAACCATTCAGTGCATGTGTTTAGACTCAGACGAGCAGTCAGTTCAGGCAATACTATCAAGTGATTGTTAATATCATGTGATCGTTAGCATGCAAGTAAGTAACGTAAATAAATATAGCCCCCATTTCCTGGTATAAACAGTAGTGAAGTTAGGTTAGGCACAACAAAAGGCCTTTGCTTATCATTGTACATTGTTGTAGTGATGAGTAGATTAAACCTATTCTGAAACAACCTGCTTGGCCTATCAATATTACAATGATTATATTTATTTTACTTTCATTCATTGCAAGAATCCACCTAAGTTATAGGTATTTAGTCTACTAAATTAATAATTGCACATATTGAAGTTTAACTTTAATATATGTTATATAATAAAGTTTAATAATGAACCCTTTGTACCATAACCACAAAACCATCTGAAAATATATTCCATAGCTTTTCTATATCTGACCAGACTCCTAAGTTTTTGGGCTGGCCCCTAGAACTGAAAATATTTGTCGAGGCCTGTTTTAGTATGATTATAGATTGATAAAGAAACTTACAATTATTTATCCTGTACAGCCTCATGCTCATAGTGGTTTGCATCTATTTTCATTTAATTTTTCTGTTTTATTGCTCTCTGAATTGAGTTTAACTATTAAACCTGTGTAAAAAAATGACATACCACCTGGCAAATGCATAGCTCAAGTTACACTAAACAAAATATTGAATTATGTAATACTTTTTACACTTGAAGTCTAAAAAAAATTAACCCTACTTTCTTGGTACAGTTACTGTTAGAACTTTAACGAATATTATCTATACCAAATATTCAATTTAGAACACAAAATAATAACATACAAATAATATAATGTCCTATAACTGTTATAATTTAACTGGCTTTCTAAATAAATTATAAGTACACTAAAATTATTCGCTTACTGTATTCAAGATGAACTTGGTGATAGCATCTTTGAATCTTTAGGCTAAATTCTTCAAAAGCTGTTATCAGAACCAAGCTTGCATTATCACTGACATTTTTGAAAGACAGTACGTGATAGGAGGTAGTGGCATGAGAGTTTGACTTTTGGATTATACATGTGTAAATCAAGATGATTGGAAGTTATAAGATTAGATTCTATCTTAAATATATGTGTGTGCTATAAATGTTTCATTTGTATTAAATCTTGGATGCTGAAATAGGGGTGAAAAGAATGTTTAAATGGACAATTCAGAGTGAACAAGTGTCACATGATACACAGAGGTGAAGATAAAAATATATATAAATATTTTCTTTTGAAAATAAATCTTATATAATAATAACATTTGATTCATTAATTATGTTTTGATGCCAAGTTTATTCGCATACAATTATAATAAAGTAACTTAATTAAATTTTGAATGTAGCTCTCTAAAAGTTTGTAACATGTACACTTTGACCTAGCAAAAAGAACAAGCAGGTAGAGCTCTGGAGAAGGAACCCATGAGGTCCAGATACTCTTCCTTTTTTGTTCTAAAAATTAATAATTGATTCTTGAATGTTGTTCAAGCAGACATGGATCTAGTGGAGAGGTCCTGGAAGATATTAATAAATGTATTCTTTAATGTTGTATAAGTAGCATGGATTTAGAGGGTTGAAACCTTCAGCCCTTCCATCTATTTTATTTCTCAGAAATAAATATTATCTAATGATGAAAAATAGGCACAGATGAAGCAGGATCCAAACCTCCTCCATTTTTTTTTAAAAAATGAATAAAAAACAGCCAATAGCATCAAAAAGGAATATTAGATGTCACAAGAGTTTTTATTTGATTGTTAAACATAAACCTACACAATGGGATAACTGTGCTGTGCCCATCACAGGTATCAAAACTGAGCTTTTAATACTATAAGCTTTCAGACTTATTGCTGTACTATTGGGGCACATGTGTGCTCTGACCAAAGTAAGCAAAAATGCAAGTGTATCTATTACTGTACAAGTAGCAACTTAAAAAAATAAAACATTACAGGCATCCAGTTTACAAACATGAAAATATGAAATTTGATGTAGACTTTAGAATATTTTTCTAAATGTAATTATAACTATTTCATTTTAATTTCAAAATCTGAAATGTTTGTCTAACTATTTTTTATTTTTGTATCAATCACATTACTAAAAATGAAGACATAAGCTTTCAAATCATTGGATTATAATCTAACTGAGCTAATCATAATGATTTAGTTGGCTTTCTAATTTTATCTTATTACTAAACATACTAGTGCTAGTAGTGTGTGATAAGTAAAACAACTAAAGCAATGTTTTACCAGTAGATAGATATATAGCAGATAGAATTCTTGTTGGACACCCCCCCTATCACCCAACAACATTCTGGCTTGCTCCTGTTTTGATTAATAGTTTCTAAAATTATGGATATCTAACAATGTTTAATATATTTTGGAATACTCAAAAATTATGTTTAATATAAGTACTCCATCTAGCGAGCTTTGATATTTCTCTATTTTTTCATGATCAGTATTGCTCTTCAAATATCACATTTATTTTTTGCAAGTGTTTTGAAAAATTATTTTATTTCCAACAATGAAAGAAGTAATCAACTCACACTATAGCCAAAACTATTTTTTATCTTATTTTATTTTTTATGTTTTTAGGGTGATAAAATTCACTAACTCTATATAAAAATGTTACAAAGTAATATGTTTATTTTCATCAACAAAAATTCAGTAGTTTAACTATAGTGGAAATATGTAAGGAGAAACCTGTAATATTTTCAGATTGTTACAGGTTTTATACTACTTTGCATGTATGACACACTATCATGTACAAAAGTTTAAGATGAACAAAATAACTTCTAAATTATTGTACCTCAAGACAGGATTTTCTCTAGTTTTCTTCTATTTTTGCCACAAATTGTCATATTAATTTTATTTGTTAGTTTTTTAAACAATTAATTGTATTTGTTAATTTTTTAAACAATTTTCATTCAAATACATTTTAAAATTTATATTTTGTAATATTCTGACACTTATTTGATGAATTTGTAAAGAAAAAAGTTAATATTTTCATTTCTTCATAGCTGCAGAGTTTGCCTGTAAACAAAATACCATACTTGTCGATATTTTCTTCCACATTTTTTCTGCCATAAACCCCTAGAAATAAAACTACTTTGCAAGTACATACACATGTAAAATATTATTAACTAATTACCATAAATTACAATGTAAGTATATGTAACATTGTGCATCGTGTAATGTACCATATTGACAAGTCAATTGTATATATAGGCCATTACTTTGTGCAACTAAAATTGTTCAGACTGATAACACTTTTTTCTGACGGTTTTTCTACAATGTCTTCTCAGTAATAGCCATTGTAATATTTATTTTTCTTATTAGCATAGTACATTATTTAACATAAATGAACTGAAATAAATTCAAAGGAACAATCTGTGCAATGTGAAACAGCTAAAAAGGTTAAAATGTTTACCATTAGGGTGGATTCCATTTGTTGTTACCTCTTGATTATCTGTGGCCACATTTTCAATATTATTGCAACTATCCATGGAGTCTTCATCTATAAAATCAACATCAGGTTCTGAAGACTGAAAGGCTCGCTGGACTCTGTTCACTTCGATCAAGCCCCCTGATGGTCCAGTGAATGCTGCTATTTCATGATCAGAGAGCTTGCTAATCTCTTTCACTGGTAATTCATAACAAGATTTTCCAAAGAAGATCTCTGGTTGTCGTTTTCTTGACTCTCTAAACAGAATGTAAGCAGAGACTAGTTTCACTTTATTAACTTATCGAGTTAACAGCAAGCAGAGACTAGTTTTACTTTTTAACAAGGGAAAAATATTTAACCTAGGCATAATATATTATACAATTTTATGTTCATAATGTAGGTACCAGTTATTAACAATCTACTTTCTTCATTGCAAAATTAAAGTACTGTATAATAATCTTTGAAAATGGATTTAAAAAATTATTTTTCTCTAACAAAAGTAATAATCGTTTAGAAATTTATATGGTATTTAACTATCTTTTTTGTTTTATGACTGTACGTGTACATGTGAGTATCATTTGAAATAAGTATATCTAAAATTAAGAAAACATGGTCATACCTTCTTAGTGATCTTAAAAATGTATGTTAAATTAAAATAATTCTATATAATTTAAGTATTTTACTGTATTTTGGGAACATTTTTTATAAAAAATCAATATTACAGAAAGTAGAAGCATCTGTGACAAAAAGTATTGTTATGTTATCTGCTAAATACAGTAATTATAAAAAAAAATATTTTATATCATAAGGACTTGTCACTATTCAGTTAATAATGATTTAAACAATTCAAAATACTGAGAATTCTTATCAAAACTGAAAATATAATTTAAAAAATTTGCATGTACATGTACTTTAAGTATCGACAAACTATTTCATATGATGACAGTTTTTGTGCCTGCATATTATCAGGTCTTACTTCTTATAAACTGTACAACTGTTATGTACACCAAAAATTACATATTTTTTGTGATCAGCAAGAGTAACTTCCTTCTATTATTAGTATTGCTAGACTAGATGTTACCCAACTTTACCCTTGGTTGTTATGTAGGTTAACACTGGTTACGTTTTATTTCCTGGAATGAGAAATAGTGAGCAACATATGACTGCTGAAGGACAGCTAAGTGACACACCTGATGTGTGACTCATGAGTAATGACAAACAAAGCATATTTACTTGATGTACTGGAGCTGTGCACGTTGATAACAAACAGAGCTCATTTAGTACACCAATATGCATGTAATATGTATGTGCCAACTACAGATCATGTCGACAATAATTTTCCATATAAACTGCTTCCACTGTTAGATCTGTTTGTTTTTTCCTCTTTATTGTTGTTGATGTAGAATAATACATATAAAATATGTCATGCACAGGAAGTCTCAACAATAGATTATCCATGTGAATTGGGCTGTAATTCAGTAATACTAGGAAACACTAACACTTCATAAGCTTACAAATGACAATGTGGTTGCATATATTTAAAAAAAAGTATCACTGTTGAAATAAAGTTGTTAAAATGAAAAATAGATACCAAGGCTTTTTTTTGTCTAGTGTTAGTTGTTCTACCTGATTCCATAGTTCTGGTAGAACTCCAAAGTACTGAAAACTAATACACTTCTTATGAGAAAAATCTTATGTTTAAACATGTTTATATATGGAAATATATACATATATAATTCTACTGGATTAATTAAAAAATTAAAACGATATTCCAACACAATTACCATGCTTAACACACAATGAAATGTTCTTCCACATTTAGAAACAGAAAACTCAATGTTAACCACTTGTAAAGTTTGTTTTAAACTAATAAAAGATAAACTACAATACAACTTCACTTGTTTTGTATTATAAACTTTCTACATGTAGTTCTTCATTATCTGTAGCTTTTAACTGTATCCAACATCTGTGGAAAAGAAGTGAATTATGACTTCAAGAAACAACTTTTTGAAAAGGTTATAACTCAAATGCATATATTTTCTTATAAATATTATATAGTACATAAAACAAGTAACAAAAAAAACAGATAAAGGTGTATATTTAATAATATTCTTTTTTAATAAAAATATAATTTCTAAAATTAAACAAACATTTTTTGTACATAAAACATAATATTTTATTAATTAAATATAAGGTGTAAAGTTTAAATATTCAAGTACTATTTCACATACGAAGATTTATTATATTATTGTAATTCCGACTTAAACTTCACATAATTATATAAAAACAACTTTTTCATTCCACACTTTTAATCTCAATGAAATTAGCCACATTGCAGTATATATATACTAGTATTTACATTGTACAAGCCATTTTGTTTCATAATACTTTCAGAACAAACACTTTATCACTTTCAAATCTGGTTGTGACCAGATATAAAAAAGTAAGAAATTTAACAACAAAGATTTAAAATTAATAGTTAAGGTTCTGAATGTTCAATATACAGAGTGTAGTGTTTATATCACAGTACAAAAAGAAACTGAATTTTAGCAGAACTGCATTTCATGGATAAAAGGTAACTAGACGTTTCTTTTAATTTTGGTTGCAAAATATAAAAACTAAGTTAGTATTTGTTTTCTTTGTTTCATGATAAAATAAAATTGGACAAAAACAGGACAAAAGATGAAAAAAAAAGTTTAATTGTTTTGTGTGTTTTCCTTAATAAATAATTAATATTTACTTGATGGTAAGTTATATTTATTCCAATATAAAAACTGCTTCACTTTTATTTATTTTTGGAATACTTTTTTTTTGGTAATTCTAAACTTCACTATTATTTTTTTGTTACATATATTTTTTATTGTAATATTGTAAAATCATTTTTTTTAAAACTCTGTAAATAGATTCTTTAGAAATATTAAAAGGTGTATTAACTTAACTTGTTACCTAGATACTGGAACATAATGTATTGTTAGAGATCATTCATATGAATAAAATAATTAGGAAAATTGTCAGTTAAGGTAACTATACTTAGCACAGTTTTATAAAGAAGTTTTATTTTCTAACCAATTTATTAGAGTTCCTTGACACACATTTCCTTTTTTATTTTGGTTCAGGACACACATTACTTGGTGTTAAATTTCATTATGCTTCTGATATGGTGTCACTTATAGAATTAGATATTTAAGTGGCTAAAAAATTCACTAGGCAGTTGATAGTAAAGGATGGTGATAAATGGCCATTTTTCCCAATCGGGAGACAGTAACTAATGGAATTCCAGAATGATACATTTTGTTCACTATTAAGATCAACAGCCTGCAAAACATCTTGGACTTAATATTTAAAGTCACTAATACACAGTAACACTAATATTCTGGGTAATTTGATGAATGGAAGGAAACAAAACAATGAATGGATATACTAAAACACAAATAATGGGTTTATCACATATATTTAAGTATTTAATCTGTTTTTAACTCCATGAGTAAGTTACAATCAGGCTGTAATTGTAAAAGGTAAAAATTCGACACAATGGGCTAAGGAAGTAAAAATACAATGTTCATAACCATAATTAATTAATTTTCTTATTAATTTCCTTAACTGAAATATATTTTTCTGCTTATTTTACAAGAAATGTAAAATATTATCATTACATACTCTACAAATAGAAAAATTTATTATCAAGTCACAGATATGCTCAATTAAATAGTGTTTCGTTAACTAAATTGTCCTGTAAAACACATCATAAATTCACTCTTCACTAGATCTTATCTGGAAAAAAATTCAGAAACCAGCAATCTCATTCTATTCTACCTTTACTAAATTGCCCTGTAAACAAGGTTGTACAAGTTACCATTTTCTACAACACATAACAAAAAAACTTTAGAAACCAACACCTTCAATTTATTTATTTTATTCATTTGTGACAAGAAAAAGCTCAAGTTACTTTACACTACACTTCCTAAGTAAAACAAACTTTAGAAACCAACACCCACAATCTACTTCTACTAAGCTGTCTTGTTCAGAAACCCATGTAAGTTAATCTTTCTAAACCAACACCCTCCATTCATTGTATTCTTATTATACTGTCATGTGTAAAAATCCATGCAAGTTATCTTCACTACACTACATCAGTAGTAACAAACTGTGAATACTAACATTAAATCCATTTTTGAGGTCAGTACAAGATCTTCTGTACATTCAAATTTTGTGAACTAAGATTTCCATTCTTTCTCTATAATACATATAGAACACACTTAAAAATGTATTAATAATTACTAAACCCGTATCCATTAGAATCGTTATTAATAATGCTTCAATAAAACATTGGACAATATGTTGACACAACTAGAGGACGGTTTCTAAGAAGTATTATGATTTAACTATACATATCTATAAAACTTGAGGACAACAAGAGGCCTGTTGGTCAATTTCGGCCATACCATCCACTAAACTTTAAAATAAAAAATGAAACTCTCAAAGCCAGCCCTTATCATTCAAATGTTTATCAAGCCTCCTGTTAAGCTCCCTTCAATTAACTGCAGTCACCACATCTGAAGGCAACTCATTCCAAAAACCAACCACCTTGTTAAAAAATAAAGTTGAAAATGACTCCTACCCTACCAAAATTTATATTTGTGCCATCTGGTCTTACCATTGTCACTATTAAGTATGAGAAAAGATGACGCATCAACACTATCAATTCCCATAACACCTCAGTTAGATTCCCTCTGACTTTTTCTTCAAGAGAAAACAACTTCAGAGATCTTAACCTATCTTTGTATGACAATGTTTCCATCCCAGGTATCTCCCTAGTAGCCATCCTCTGAACCCTTTCCAATAATTCCATGTTATTCCTAAGATAAGCCATCCAAGACTGAACACAACACTACAAACATTGCCTTAACAATGATAACTTTAAATTTTAGACTTGTATTCAATATTTCTGCAGATAATAAAACCTAAAATCCTATTTGCCCTGCCAATAATAATAATAATAGGACATTGCTTGGATGGCTTAAGAAACTGATCAACTAGAACACCAAGATATTTTCCTTTCATAACATTAAGGTTATTCTCATCAAAATTATACTCATATTTCAAACTGTGATATCCCACATGCATTTGTTATAATTAAAAGACATTTGCCATTTATATGCCCAACTCAACAAATAATCCAAATCCATTTGTAAAGCAGCAGCATCCTCCTCATAGTCAGCAACACCCAAAACTGTTATTAGCAAATTTAAATAATTTATAGCCATTCCTTCATCTATGACATTGATGTAAATCAAAGAGATCAAAGGTCCTAACACTGAGCTTTGACATACCCTACTTGTGATATTAATCCAGTTTAACTGAACTCCATTTATAAAAACCATCTACTTTCTTCCATTCATTAAAGTTTTCCATCCAATGAGCCAACCTATCCCACACATCTACAGAGATCTTTTTTTAAAAAGCCTTTTATGTAGTACCTTGTCAAATGCAGTGACATACAATGGGCAATATAATGTAGGAAGCAATGATAAACAGGGGTGGAAATAGGAGACGTGGGGTGGGATGGGAATGTGCAACTAAGTTGAACCAAAATTACAACATCTATCATTATCAGTTATTCAAAAAAATAAAATGGAAGTTAAATTATAATAATTGATTAAATACATCTTTTATAATTGTTTTAAGTGATAAACAAATTAAAGTAACATAAACCCAGCAATTACCATGCATAAATAAAACTGTATTTCACTCAAAGCACGTGGAATATACATTAGAAAGATCACACCTGACACCTGAAACCATACTTCTTGAGAAATGCTTGGTTATTATTTGTTGTCTAGTCTAATGATGTCTCATTTCCATAGCAGCCACCAAACGGATCATATTGCTGCTTTCCTTGAATGTGTACAGTGGCTGATGTTTCATTCTCAACATTTGTTGGTAAAGTAACCTCTTCAAAGAATGTCAAAAGATTGGTAAGACAAGATTTTGCCCTAGTGAAATTAGGCTGACTACTTAACAAAATTAAAATTTGTTAAATGACTTTGTAGAGAATCTTATCACCTCCCTTGAAAAGAGGAGTAACATTAACAAAGTTCCAATCTTCTGATACCAGCTTTTCTGTATCATCCCTCAAAGGCCCTACTCCCATCCTAACATTTTTCTTATCCTTAAAGTATTCAAAGAAATCCTTAATATTAATTTCTACATTTTCATCCAACATTTTTTTATATGGTTTTTCAATTTCCTTTGACCTACACCCTTGATCTTTTATAATTCTCTAAATTTCCCATCATTTTAAACTTCTTAAACTTATGATGCTTTTTTTTTATTTTATCCTTTATATCCTTTGTGAACAAACCTGTCTTCTTTTTACTTGCACCTTTTTTTTTTTACTATAAGGAGCAAGCCAATCTTGAATATTTAAAATATATTTTAAAAAGTCTTCCACACTTGATCAATATCTCCAATTAACCAATTGTGCCCAATTCACAATAGATAATTTTTGTCATACAGTTTGTTAGATGCAATATGTGCAACTGTATGATTTGTATGTAGAGTTTGCAAGGCTGTTCTAAATAAGGTATAGGCTATGGATAAAGAGAAAAGTAAACTTCAGGAAATGGCAGCATTATTTAAAGATAAAATTAAGTTTATGCATGTGAATGAGATACAGTGGCTGATAATGACTTTTAGTTAGTTTAAAACAGTACTATTAAGGCTAGTAGTAGTGGATTTAATTGTAATGAGAAGGTTCTAATAAATAACAGATTTTAGCCTTTAACTTGTACAGATGAACTTGAGAAGGGAAGGATAACAAAAGGGACAGATAGGGATGGGAATGAAAAACACAAGGTTACTGTTATAGGAGATTCTTTAATACAAAACATCAAACTTAATTAAGGAATAATAATTTGCACCCAAATGTTTCCCAATCTCCACACTATCAACAACTTCTATATTAGAAGTTAAAAATATATCTAAAATAGCATTGTTCCTAGTATGTTCTCTTGCCAATTGGTGAAGAAAAGCATTCTGATGTTTCTAAAAACCTGTCTCCCTCATGATTTGGCTCTAACATTTCCCAATCTATATGCCTAAAATTAAAATATCCCATAATTATAACCTCATTAACAGTTGATTTTTTCATCTCACTGTAGCATTTCTCTTTAGTTTCATCTGGTACTCTTTAACAAATTCCAATTAAAAGCCTTCTCCACTTATAACCTAACAAATATCAAAAATCAACACAAGTTCAACCTTATTGCTATTAGCTTTGTTATCTTCAAATTGAAAAGAATGTAACTCACATTTTACATATAAAGCCATTCCTCCCCCTTCTTTTTAGTACTCTGTTCCAATTAAATAAGTTATAACCCAGTATTTCAAATAAATTCCTGTGATCAAAATAGCCTACATTTAGCCAGGTTACAGTTATTCCCATTATATGAAAATCCTCTGCACTGACTAGTACCCTAAAATCATCTATTTTATTTTTATACTTCTAGCATTACAATGATAACAGTTTAGCCTATCATTAAAACTACTTCGTACTTTGCTTCTACACTATATTTTTCTCTACATTTAATAGCCCTTGAACCAAATATTCATTACTCATTAACTATTTAACTGAAAATAACCTACTTAATATTATGTGTTGCCCTAAATTTATTGTAATGGTCAACTAAATATGAGCCAAGTATTAATTAATACATTTTTACATATATTAGTGAAATAAAACTTTCTGAAAAGCTATCAAGTATGGATAAATGAACAAGCTTGTCTATATTCTTTTAAGTGAGAAGTGATACCATTCATCTATTATGATCAACACTGAAATTTAATTTATGGGCACAGATTGAGCCTTTAAAGACTTCCATATAATTGGTAGTATTGAAAACATGAACAGTTACTGCTAAGGACTTTCATTACTGCTATAAAACTATTTTCACTGATGTCTAATTTGAATATGTACATCCAACTGTAAAACTCTGGTAACCATGAAATAACAAGAAATTATTTCATTCGAGTTCATTAATTTCTAGCACAAGTAATTTAAAATTTTGCACATTCAATTTATAGAAACTCATAAATGTTTAAATTAATCATACTAACTTAATTCTCTACATTTATTTATAGCAAAAGCCATTTTTCTTGCCACTTTAGTTATACAATATTGTCTGCATCTTAATGAGTTAAGTTCTAAAAAGTAAACAATATTTTATTACAGGTGTAACTTTCTGACATCAATCCAGAATGTTATAACTATTTTAATATTAAATTTATTGTTAATTTAAAATTAAATAATCTTCAAATTCCAGTTTTTAATTTCTACCAAAGAACAAATGAAACAATGTATATGTAAGAGCATTGTTAGTAGCTGACATTTTACAAAAGTAGCATCTTTTTAAATTATAGAAAAATCTCTTTAATGAATCAATTTAAGGAAAATACACCATAACTAAACTCCACCAATAGAAGATTCACTTTTATATTACTATATGTATAACTTTATGGCAATTGCAATATTTTCATTAATATATATAACAAGCCATTTTTTTACTATGAAAATACTTCCAAATACCTTTAAAAACTTAAAAAGACTAATAACCTAAGTTCTCACTTTTAATAAACACAGCTTTTTTAAAAAACTAAACGAGTACAGTATCACTTTGAATACTTTTTGGTAAAAAAAAGGTACAGAATGGCAAAGAGATAACTGTAAACAATAATTTCAAGAAATTCAAAATGTAAGTTGTGTGATAAAATAGGCTGCATTACCTTCTGTGGCAAAGTTTTTTGAACATTACTTGGCAAAAAAGCAGTAAGGTCAACTGACACAAAAATAATTTAACCCAAATTTTATTTTTTGACTGTTATAAATTCCTTGTACTTGTACTGTAGCAATGCATCTTGACAATTCTTTACAACTTGACGTGATGATACAGTTCTCCTCCTGTATAACTTAAGTTATCGTCTTAAGCAATGCAGAAACACACTACTAGTACTATTATTATAATAAAATATATAGTAATTACTATTAATATTAGTGGAATAACTAGACTGTTTGAAATCCATTACTATTACTTGGAAATTTAACACGCTCACCTTACCCATTTAAGTATTTTTGAATGAATGTTCCTGTAGTAGGAGACGTACAACTTGAATTTACATCGCATCCTCTTTCTGATCCTGAAGAAACTTGCCTTAGAAATTCTGCAACTTTTTCTCGCAGAGTTGGCATTGGGTAAAAATCAGATGTTACTACTATTTTCTAAATGCACCTACTAACTTTATAGTAGGTCCAATTTTTTAACCTTGGCCTTATTGATCAACCTTGTACTACTACTAGTGAAGATAGAACAGTAACAACTAACAGTAACATGCACTACTACAGGACCACTGTAACCTCATTTCACGATTATTATACTTGAACCACTAATAAAAACAAGTGCTTCACTGCGCCACGTAGTGGGATTTTACGAAACAAAATAATTTTTAACTCTTCAGTATAATTGACATTATTTTTAGGTAATATTATAAATTAATATGTTTTATTAGTTAATTATCTTTTGTTTCATTCTCCTTTATAGGTTTCAAATTGTTGTTGAAATTTAATTATAATACAACTTGTTGCAATCATTTTATTAGTTTGTTAAGAATGACACTTAATTCATTGGCCTTATTTTGTGCCATAAACCCTATTTGTGGTATTGTTTGTTTGTTTGTTTTGAATTTCGCGCAGAGCTACACGAGGGCTATCTGCGCTAGCCGTCCCTAATTTAGCAGTGTAAGACTAGAGGGAAGGCAGCTAGTCATCACCACCCACCGCCAACTCTTGGGCTACTCTTTTACCAACGAATAGTGGGATTATAACGCCCCCACGGCTGAAAGGGCGAGCATGTTTGGTGTGACGGGGATTCGAACCCGCGACCATCAGATTGCGAGTCGAGCGTCCTAACCACCTGGCCATGCCAGGCCATTTATGGTATTGAAAGACTCAACAAATAAACTCAGAAAGAAAAAGTAAAAGCTTTTAAAAGGAGTATAATCAATTTAATCAAGTTCTTTGTGGTTCATTGAAATGTCCTATTATTACTTGAAAATATTTTTATATGAAATGCTGTTCTTATTCAATATTTTTAAATACTTTAACGTACGTGTAACCATTATTCACAAATTTTCTCATTTCCATTCTATGCCCACCACAGGTATCAAAACTTTGTTTTTAGCGTTATAAGCCTTCAGTCTTATCGCTGAGCCACTAGGAGCCAGATCGGAAACAAGCAAAAGAAAATGTAGAAATAAATGAATTAAATGTCTTTTTTCCCGTAAAACATTACTGTATATGACCACAAGTATACAAAAAAAAATGGGAAAATAATATAAAGATATTAAAAATCTGAAGATAGACACAAAATAGAGAAAAATGTAATTTTATTGTGGCACTATAAAAACAGGTAAATAATCGTGAATAATATAACAGTTTGTGTCTATGTTTTCGGATATTCTTGAAAAGTTATTAAAGGGCAAAATGAGCTAGTCATCTTTAATTTTGAACTCATAGACAAGAGTGAATCCAGCTAGTAAACAGTATTCATCGCCAACTCTTGGGCTACTCTTGTCTGAGCGAATGGTTGTATTTGATTGTCACCCTTATAGTTTATCTACGGCCCCAAAGCGCGGAGCACGATGTGTATATATTGTTAGAAACTATATTTCTTATGCTGTAATTTAGACGTTAGATAGAGAGCGCACGTCTTTAGGAGCAAGTAAGTTTATGAGATCAGGCCTAGAATATTCTATATTGACGTCACGAAAACCTAGAGGTTTTGCGAAATATCTAGAACAAAGTTTACATATAAATACTTGTGAGTCAGACAATAAGCGAACTAAGCTTGCAGTGTAACAGTGAAGTATCAAGAAAATAGAGAGTTGTTTTCCAGCTTGTTGTGCGACTCATTCAGTGTGTTACGTTTTTGGATCTGTGTTATCTACCGCACATACTGAGTTAAGCTACTTTGTACAATTAAGTTGATTTTTATATTAGTGCAATGAAAATAGCGTGACTGCAAAGATAGGTCTGCAACTAGCTACAAAGTGTACAATCCTGTAAAGAAATGTTAAGGAGGAAATAAAAAGAAATTGGACTGGATATTGAATTATTTTGACCACATAATTCAAAAGAAGATGACAACGAAAGTTTATTTATATATTTAATTTTACGTAAAGCTACACAAGGGCTGCATGCTCTATTGTCCCTAAGTTTGAAGTGATAGAATTAGAAGGCTGGCAACTAGTCAACGCTACCCAGCACCAACTCTTATGTCACTCTGTATTAACGAATAATGGGATTGACCGTCATGTTATATGAGCATGCTCGTTGAAGATATCCAAACCCACGATCCACAGATTGCAAGTCGACTGTCCTAGCCATCACGTTATGCCATGCCGACAATGAAAGAACAATGTTTGAACAATATATATATGTACTTATATATTGTTGAATACATACATATGTACACCAAAAGCTTTATTGTCCAGCATCTGCCGAGCCTGGGTAGTTTCAGATAGGTGAAAATTCCGGTTATGAATGTGTTTCCTATATGTTATTTTCGATGAAAAATTTTAACACCCTGTTAATGCTCTATAGCACAGTATTTCTAAATCATTTATAAGAATAGCAGCTCTAAACAATAATAAATAATCTAAAAGCCATAATTTCAGGATGTAGAAAATATTTATAGATAAATAAAGTAAGCACATTCTGAATCACAGTACAGGCAGCTAAAACTAAATCTTGCCGGCGAGAAAGAACGTAAAGAAAGCCACAGCAGTGTCACTAAGCAGCAGCATTGGTTAACTACAGTCGCGAATTTTCGAGAAATTTAAAGAACGTTGTGAGACATTCCGGACGGAATTGTGATGAATACCGGTTCCTATAATAAGTATTTGTATTTGGAGAAATTGAAATTTCCAATTAAAAGAGCTCTCCAGATTTGAAGATTCGGGATAACGGTACACGAATATGGGATCCGCAGATTACAAGTTCGTAATTTTTGCCATTTGGCCATGCTTGGACCAACATAACAGAAATATAGAAATAAAATAAAATAAAGGAATCTAAGAAATAAAAAGGAATGTTAGACTAGAGTAGGTAATTCACACAATACATGGAGTTTCATAAAACAAAGAGGATGTTATCAGATATCATATCAATACCATGATAATCAAATCGATACGTGAACAAAATGGAGGAGATATTATTAACACATACAACACGAATTACGCGATTCCGCCCTTCTAGAAGAAAATTTTGTTCAGTTTTACCTTGTACAGCTACACTAATGTTTGAGATCCATAATTTCAATTTCTCCCATTCTGTTGAAGAAAAGTGATACCTTCCTTGGTTGGATATAGTTTTCCTTTTCCAAAGTCCTTGAACTGAATATTATAATTTTTCTCGTAAGTTGGTAGAGTGATGTAATGATTGTTCCCAATAGGATAGACATGAGATGATTCAGATGTTTCTTCACGTTGTATAATAGTAGAGAAACCCTGATTTGTTCTTTTTCGCCATTTCGTTAATGTCAGCAGCATTTCTTTTCTTTCCAATAGACTAAAATATATATCATAATACATAATAAGTAAAACACAGCAACCATATTTATTAATATAATGAAAATGACTGAAAACAAACATTACTATGACAAAGAAACAGAAATTAGATTTATTAGCAAAGAAATATATGTTACGATATACTTATGTTTAAATGCTGGTTCTTCGTTATTTCTCCCATTTAATAGAACTGTATCAGTCTGATTATTAGTGATGAAAGGGGACAGGGTCTTTATATTTGAAAAGTGACCCAGATTTGACTGAACTTTACACTGTTTGTTGTAGACAGATATTAAAAATTAGGACATGTTTGAACTTGTAACTGAGCTTATCAAAACTATCCAGAAACAGCTAACTCTGTTACCATTCGAGTACCTACAAATATAATATTCACCTTTGTAGCGATGAGGAGAGACATTGTGCCTTTGTTTAATATGTACTCGTGGTATCATCGGGTCATTTATAAATACTAAAACAACAATGCTAAATCTCCCTTTTTAATTCTACTCGTCAATAAATTAACGTAGGAAGATAACAATAACCCAACCGAGTTTTCATTTCCTGTCCAGTTTTTAATAAGCATACTTTGATGTCCTCAAATAAAACTAGAACGGACAGGCAATTAATAATGCCGATAACTAGGAACTTGGTGGAAAGGTAAACCATATTACTTGTATGTTTTTTTCATTTGTTCTTTACTCTTCTCAATGAGCCTATACTTATACAAGTATTACGAGAATATGTAGCATTAATACAAGAGCAGGTATGGTCTGATGGTTAGCGTGCCAGTCTGTGAACTAGAGGATCCTTGGTTCGCTTTCCATTGATACGAAATTGCACGTTATACTCTGAGGTCGGAGGCATTTTTTTCTTTTAAAAATAACGATAAAATATCCCACTATTAGATTAGAGTAGAACAAGTACTGGCAGTGAGTGTTGCTGACCATCTACCATCCCTCTAGTTTATCATTTCAAACTAGAAATGGCTAACTTAAATAACCCTAATGTAAATATCCTAAACAAAGAAAAAGTGGCAATATTACTAATTGACTATTCTAAATTATTCAACAGACAAACTGTTTAAGACAATGTGATGTTTTCCTTCATCGTCAAACTTTGTGACAAGTGATAAATAGAATGGTCAACTGATTTCATATTTCTTTCTCTCTGGGATTCATAGTTAACTGGACTAGGTGAATAGAAAATTTCACTCTACAAAGAGCAGGAACAACTGGATTAGGTGAATGGAAAACTTCACTCTACGAGAAGCAGGAACAACTGGATTAGGTGAATAGAAAACTTCACTCTACGAGGAGCAGGAACAACTGGATTAGGTGAATAGAAAACTTCACTCTACGAGGAGCAGGAACAACTGGATTAGGTGAATAGAAAACTTCACTCTACGAGGAGCAGGAACAACTGGATTAGGTGAATAGAAACTTCACTCTACGAAGAGCAGGGTGATTCTAAATGAAGCAGAAGATTTGGATAGAACTGGATTTAAGATAAGTTTTTGCTACTACTTACAGAAGACCTTGCACGTCGCATACGTTAGGTGTTAGTCCCGTTATCAAGAAAGAAAGAAAGAGTAACTTTTCCCGTATCTTTATTTCTGTCAGATTGTGGGGTACACTCAATTTATCACTATGAACGTGTTGGACATATTTTACAGCGATAACTGGACTCGGAACAGTATTAAGGACTTCTTCCAATAGTTCTTGTCGAGGAGATGGTGTGAAATGAATGGTGACGTCATCAAAATGGAATAGGAATTGTAGA